GAGCTTCTACTTTTGTCTTAGAAAATACTAAAAACAAATTCAGTGGTGACTATATCCATGAGTTTTTCCAGAGCAAAATTATTTCTGACAACTAAAAGCAGCTGGTACATTTCTCCCCCACTCTTGTCATAAAAGCAAAATTTTTCTACAGGGGCTGATGTATTTTACCAACTTATCTAAAGGAACAACCCTATGAATTAAAGATGAATAGCAAAGCCTTCTTTGTAAAATAAAATTGTCTACATTCCCAAAGTACTAACAGAATATGTACAGACTACTTAATAAGAAATCCATATGAAAATTTTTTTTTAGGGCCTGATCACGTGAAGACTTACACAGATGCTTAACTTTAAGCATGTGAGTAACCCCAGTGGAGTCTCTTCGGTGTATTTTGGCCACTGTTTACTTTAAGCTATTCTTTCAGATACCCATGTTCATTTCTAAATATTTAGAACATGCCCCCCCACTCTAGCCTTGGTCTTACACCTGTCCCTTGCAAGTGTGTTTCCATAGGACCCTGTGAAAGTTTTTGAGTGTGAAAGGGCCCATGGAAGAATTAATGCAGCTTAAAGCTATATGAAGTCTAATGCAGGGGTTGGCAACCTTTCAGAAGTGGTGTGCTGAGTCTTCATTTATTCACCCTAATTTAAGGTTTCGTGTGCCAGTAATACATTTTAACATTTTTAGAAGGTCTCTTTCTGTAAGCCTATAATATATAACTAAACTATTGTTGTATGTAAAGTAAATAAGTTTTTTAAAATGTTTAAGAAGCTTCATTTAAAATTAAATTAAAATGCAGAGCCCCCCGGACCGGTGGCCAGGACCCAGGCAGTGTGAGTGCCACTGAAAATCAGCTCGCATGCCGCCTTCGGCACACATGCCATAGGTTGCCTACCCCTGGTCTAATGCCACTTTATACTACAAAAAAGGTATTTTTACACCAAGATAGCGAACACACAAAATCCTACTGTAAATGGGCCACAGCATAGGTTTACCTTAATGTAGTTGGGGTGAGATAAATCCTAGACTTCTAGTTATGGTTCACCTTGACCAGCTAGATCAAGGGAAAATTACAAGTAGCCCCATCAACACTAGAATTTTACGTTAGCTCTCTCATTATAAACTTCATCTGTTTTTCCTAGACAAGGCCTCAGTTGGTGACACTTACTATGTGGAGACTCCCCAACACATGAAGGCAGCTCTACAAGATGTGGGGTGAGGAGCATTCATGCCACGGAGGTGATAACTATACCTTTAGTCCCCATTTACTGCCCAGACAATGAGGTCCAAAGTAATTATTTTTATACTGCCATTTCTCATCTTTACCATTACTCCCAACACAGTGTAAACAGTGGTTACAAAACGTTTTAAAAGGTATTCTTTTTAAAAGGAAGTTGTCTGAGCTATTTTATCTCATATAATTTTAATACTATTCGCTTATTTTCAAAGAATTGGATCAACTGCTTTTCCTCTCCAGAAATAGAACAATTTTGATCCTAACGCTGCCTGCTTAACCAGAAACAATTACAAAATGGTTTGTACAATGCTAATATTGTGACAAGGAATGATAAAGAGGAGGTTACTGGGAAACATCTGTTGAAATGAAAAAGGGTTTTGTTCCTGGTATACCACTTTCAAAAATATAGTAAGAATTTTACTAAAGTAGCTGTTTCACTAAACGAAATAGTGTTCAAGCAGCTGTTTGGTGTTTATTCCAATGGCTTCCTGCCTCTCCCAATGTTTGTGAAATGGAAGACTAAAGGCAGGAGTCAAATGAAGATTCATTACTGTCCACAATTACTATTCCAGTTGGCTGATTCTGTACAACTGTTACAGACCCCAAAAGGCCCAGTGAATGGACAGCTAGTGCCTCGATCTCTGAGTGAATAAAGGGGAAGAAGCTATATAAAACCGGGAAGCACCCTGGCTTAATCTATCTTGCAATAAAATACACCCTCCTCCTCCCAACCAACCACATGAAGTCAGTTGTGTAGGATTAAGTGAACTTTGCATCACAGAAAGGGGCGGGGATGCTGAAGAGCTAGCATGCTTCCTTTAACTTCACCATAGCTGGCTTGGTAACACCTTTATACTGCAAAGCAGCACTTTTCAATTTCTACTTTCCCTCCATAAGCTTTTTCTGGCATCTACTTATTACCCCTCTCCCATCTAAGAAATACATGCTCGGTTATGGACTTAATTTGATTTCTTCTGACCTGGTTTGAAGTTGTGCCATTAGAAAACATTAACTGACAGATTTCTAAAGGACTGGAATTTTTAGAAGAGGTATGACTTCAATAGACATGTCTATCAAAGCAGAGGACTCGTACCCCTTTGGGAGAGTGATTATTACAATAAGTACAGATTTAAGACAGCAGAATTGGACTGAATCCACCCCTCCTCCCCCATTGAAGCAAATGGGAAACAACAGACTCAAAAGCAGTATGTTTTAAGGTAAGGTGTTTTATACCAAAATGAAAGCTGTAAGTACTACATGAACTCCCACAACAGTCAACTAAAGATAAAAGAAAGGAAGAAGATATTTGCTGCCATTAAGGACTAAGCTTGCTAGCATACCTATCTAAACAAGAAAACAGAACTGTAACTGAACACTTAATGAGTAAGCATAGGTCATGACAAACCCTGCTCAGTGAGCCATTTGTGTTTAGCTCCAAGTCACCTGAATTGTTTGCTGACAACTATGTTCAGTAATGATTCTATTTCATAGTGTATATAAGGCCACAATATGGCAGATGAGACAAACCAGTCTGGGTTGGGAGCAAGAGAGTGGACCTAAAATCTAGGTTCCTGTCTACCAGGCTTTTCAGAGCTCAGTTAAAAAAAGTAACACACGCACAGCTCATTTCCAAGTCAGGATTTTAAACAGAATTCAAAAAAGGCTTCTTTCACACTAATTTCTACTAGATTTGCTATAAAAGTGTGTAGTAGTACAGTACGTACCATTTTCCCAGCACATTACAGAGGGTGTAGTTTCTTAGAGCCACCCATTCTGAAATCTTCAGGGCACAGGGTGCCCACACAAAGTATTTTGGGATGTCTCCTACAGTTGCTTTACCACTATGCCTGCATTAGAAGATGCTGATAGCTGTCCTCTCTATATTAGCAATCCATTTCTGCCACAAGTGGCATTTCATTGATGGAACAGAAGACAAATCCTTAGGGTATATTGAAACCAGAAAAATTAATGCCCATATTACAGGAGCTGGTAGCTACAGTTGAAGTTCAAGTGCAGAGAAGACTCAAGCAATTTTACCAGACAAGTCATTAAAGCTTGAGCAATATGTATGGTAACAGAACTGCTAATAGGTGTACAATGGAGCCTTGTCTACACTACACTATTAAGTCTACCAGTTACACCATCACTGCAGCTCCAGTACTTTTCATGACACTGAAGTAAAATAGAAGCCCATTTTATGAGCATTCACAGCATAGCTAGCAGAAGTGCAACTGCTAAAAAATGAGCAGAGTTTTTTCCAGTGTAAACAAGGCCTTATAACATGCCTGTGGTTACTTAATATGCCAGATGGCAAGCCCTCTTTGGTGACAGTATAAAGCTGTGGTTTATACTCTGCTGAAACAGTATTAGTTTTATCAACTCAACTCCATGCAAATTTTCTATTGCTTTTCTTTAGTCATGGGTAACTACAAACGTAGGGTG